CCCCCCTCCCACCTGCCCAATATCCTATTACTGTAGTACCTATGTGACCACTTAGGTGCTGTTCAGTATACCAATTTTGCGGTGAGTATTTGTGGTGCTTTTTTCCATTCTTGGAAACTTCACTTAATAGTATGGTTCCAGCTTAACCAGGAAAATATAAGATGTGCTATGTCACCATTGTTTCTTAGAGCTGAATAGTACTCCATGGTATACATATACCACATTTATTAATCATTCTTGGATTGATGACACTTGCGCTGTTTCCACAGCCTTGCAATTATGAATTGTGCTGCATAAACATTCGAGTGCAGTGTCTTTTTTGTAGAGTGTCATTGGATCTTTGGGTAGATGCCCAGCAATGGATTGCTGGATCAAATGGTAGAATCACTTCTATCGCTTTAAGATATCTCCATATTGCGTTCCACAGAGTTGAACTAGTTTGCAGTCCACCAGCAGTGTAGGAGTGTTCCTCTCTCTCTGCAACCACGCCAGCATTTATGTTTGGAGATTTTTTGATAAAGCCATTCTCACTGGGTTAAGTATATCTCATTGTGTTTTGATTTGCATTTCCTGATGATTAGAGATGTTGAGCAGTTTTTCATATGTTTGTTGGCATTCTTTGCTTCTTTAGAAAAGTTTCTGTTCAAGTCCTTTGCCCACTTTTTAATGGGGTTATTGATTTTTCTTCCTGATTTTCGTGAGTTCTAGTATTTCCTAGTTATCAGTCCTTATCGGATGCATAGGATGCAAAATTTTCTCCTATTCTGTAGGTTGTCTGTTTACTTTCATGACTATTCCTTGGCTGTGCAGAAGCTTTGTAGTTTGATCATGTCTCATTTATTTATTTTTGTTGCTGCTGTGATTGCTTTGGGACTTCTTCATACACTCTTTGCCTAGGCGATGTCTAGGAGAGTGTTCAACATTTTCCTCTAGAATTCTAATAGTTTCATACCTTAAGTTATAGTCTGTTATCCAGGCGAGTTGGTTTTTGTGAGAGGTAAAGGTGTGGGTCCTGTTTTAGCTTCTGCAGGGCTATCCAGTTTTCCCACACCATTTATTGAAAAGGATGTTCCCGCGTATATTTTTGCTCTTTTGTCAAGATGTGAGGATGGTTTTATATCAGATTCTCACATCTGTTCCACTGGTCATATTCATTTTTGTGCCAATACAGATTGATTTAATTACTACAGCTTTGGTAGTATAGTTTGATATCTGGCATATTAATGCCTCCCATTTGTGTTTTGTTGCTAGAATTGCTCTTGATATTTGGGGACTTCTTTGGTTCCATACGAAGCGTAAAATTATTTTTTCTATATCTGTGAAGAATGCTGATGGGATTTTAATAGGTATTGCATTGAATCTTAGATCAGTTTGGGTATATAGACATTTTGATGATATTGAGTCTACCGATCACGACATGGTATGGATTTCCATCTGTTTACATCCTCTGCTATTTCCTTCCTCAGTGTTCATAGTTTCCTGTAGAGGTCTTTTACCCTCTTGGTTAAGTATATCTAGGTACTTTAATTTTTCTTGCTATTGTGAAAGGAATGAGTCTTTGATTTGTTCTCAATTAGATTGTTGTTGGCGTATATGAATGCTCTGATTTCTGTGTTTGATTTTGTATCCTGAACTTACTAATTCATTTATCAGTCCAGGAGTTTCTTGGTTGAATCTTTGGGTTTTCTAGATACAATATCATATCATCAGCAAACAGTGAAAGTTTGATCTCTTCTCCCCTATTTGGATACCTTTGATTCCATTTTCTGTCTGATGCTGTAGCCAAGCTTCCAGCACTATGTTGAACGAGAAGTGGAGATAGAGGGCAGCCTTGTCTGTTCCAGTTCTAAGTGGAATATTTCATTTTTCCCTTCAGTATGATGTTGGCTATGGTCTGTCATATATGGCTTGTATCATTTTAGGTATGTCCTTCTATGCCTATTTCTTAAGTGTTCGTATCATGAAAGGTGTTGAATTTTGTCAAAAGCTTTTCTGCATCTATTGAAAAATCATGTGTCTTGTTTTGCTTCTGTTTATGTGGTGAATGCATTTATAGATTTACGTATTGAAACCTGCATCCCTGGATGAAGCCCACTTGGTCGTGTGGATTTTTTTTGATAAGTGTTGGATTCGGTTAGCTAAGATTTTGTTTGAAATTTTCATCTTATATTCATTAGGGATATTGGTCTGTAGTGTTCTTTTTTGTTGCATCCTTTCCTGGTTTGGTATCAGAGTAATACTCGCTTCATAAAGGTGTCAGGGAGGTTTCGTTCTTCTCGATGTTGTGGAATAGTTTCTGCAAGATAGGTACTAGTTCTTTCTTTGTAAGTGTGGTAAATTCGGGTGTGAACACCGGACGGGACTTTTCTTTTTAGGGAGATTTTGAATTGCTGTTTTATTTCAGCTGTTGAGATTGGTCTGTTCAGGGAATCTATTTCTTCCTGTGTGACCTAGGAGGCTGTGTGTTCCTGAATTTGTCCATTTCCTCACATTTTCCAGTTTTGTGCATAAAGATTTTTGTAGTATTCATAATTGTAATCTTGTATCTTTTGGGATCAGTTGTGAATCTCTTTTTTATTCCTGATGGAGCTTATTAGAGATTTCTCTTTTCTGCTCTTTGTTTAGCTTACGCCAATGGTGTGTAATTTGTTTATTTTTTCAAGAACAATTTTGTTTATTAATCCTGAATGCTTCCCTTTTTCATTTCGTTTAGTTCTGATTTGATCTTTGATTTCACTTCTTTGCTGGGTTCGGGTGGTCTGTTCTTTTTTTCCAGCTCTTTGAGTCGTTTGATTAGATGTTCTATTTGTGATCTCTGTCTGGTTATAGGCATTATGGAGATAACTTTCCTCTCAGAACTGCTTTAGCTGTGTCCCAGAGGAGTTTGATAACTTGTCTCTCCATTGTCGTTTTCATTCATAGACTTTTTTTATTTCCGTCTTTGATTCTTCATTTATGAAGTATCATTAGTAGGGTGTTTAATTTCCATCGTTTTGTGTAGATGATGAGTTTCTTTAGGGTTTGTTATTTAACTTTTAATTCCACTGTGAATTGAGAAGGTACATCAGGTATGATTCTATTTTTTTAATTCTTGAGATTTACTTTGTGTCCTAGGATATGTCTGGTCAATCTTATAGAATGTCCCGGACTGATGAGAAAAATATATATTCATGGATTGGAGTACAATGTTCTGTAAAATGTCAGTTCAGACCCCAATTTGTTCTAGAGTTTTGTTTAAGTCCATTATTTCTTTATTAATTTCTGTTGGAGGATCTGTCTCGTGCCAACAGTGGACGTGTTGAAATCTCGGCGATTATCGAGTTGCTGTTAACCATTTGCTTACCTCCAATAAGGTTTGCTTTTGAATCTGGGTGCACCTAAGTTGGGTGCATATAGATTTAAAATTGTTATCTTCTCTTGTTGAACTGTGCCCTTCACCATTGTATAATGACCTCTTTGTCTTTTACTACTTTGTGGTTTAAAAACTAAATCATCTGAAATAGAACTGCCATACCAGCCTTCTTTTGGCTTCTATTTGCTTTGGAATATTCGATCTCCACCCTTTTATTTTTAGTATATGCATCTTGCAGGTTAGATTGTTTCCTAAGACCAGCATATACTTGGCCTCTATTTTCTTATCATTCATCCAGCCTATGTCTCTTGAAGTGGAGAGTTTTAAAGCCATCCACTTTATTGAGAGAACTGATAGGTAGGTTAGATTACTGTTCATTCTGTTGGGTTGGATTGTTGCTATGATTTCTTCTTGAGCCTTGTAATATCTGGCCTTTAATATCTTTGGGTTTTGGTTTTTTTATATTCGTGGGTTATTATTATGATGTTCCATGGGTAACACTGTTTTAAGTACTTCTTGTAGGGCTGGTCTTGTCTTGGTGAATTCTCTGAGCCTTTGCTTGTCTGAGAATGTTTTTATTTCTCCTTCATCATACGAAGCTTAGTTTTGCAGGAATATATTCTAGGCTGGGCATCGTTTTGTTCAAAGAGTGAAAATGGGGCCAGTCTCCTTGCTTGTAAAGTCTCATTAGAGAAGTCTGATTTATTCGAATTGCTTTCCCGTGTATGTTATTTGCTTTCTTTGTCTTACAGCTCATAGAAGGGCCTCTTTAGTTGATACTTTGGTCGTCTGATGACTGCATGTTGTGACGTCTTCCGTTTGCGTTGAATCTCCCAGGGGTCCTCTGAGCTTCTTGAACTTGTATATCAAGATTTCGAGCAAGGCCGGAAATTTCCTCCTATTATATCTCAAACACTTGTCCAACCCTTGAGTGTTTCTTCTTCCCTTCTTGTAACCCTATGACTCCACATTAGTTCTTCACATATCACCACAGCTCTTGTAGGCTTTGCTCTTTTCTCTTGTTTCTCTGCTCTATTTCTGACTGATTTATTTAAATTGGAGGGTGTTATCTTCAAGCTCTGAGATTCTTCTGTTTCATCTACCCTGTTCTTGAGACTTTCCACTGTATTTTGTAGTTCCTTGAATTGATTCTTCATTTCCAGGAGTTCGGTTAAACTTTTCTTCATTGTGTCTATTTCTTTTTCCATATCCTGGAGGCTTTTGTGGTTTCTTTGTGTTGGTTATGAGTTGTTGTTGCAGCTCGGTGAGTGTTTATGATCCCACATACGAAATTCCTCTTCTGTCATATTGGTTGCCTGATTTTTTTTTTTTTAATTTCATACCTCCTTTTATTTATTTATTTATTTTTGAGACAGAGTCTCACTCTTTTGCCTAGGTTAGGGTGCTGTGGCATCAGCCTAGCTCACAGCAACCTCAAACTCCTGGGCTCAAGGAATCCTACTGTCTCAGCCTCCTGAGTAGCTGAGACTATAGGCATGTGCCACCATGCCCAGCTAATTTTTTCTATATATATTTTTGGTTGTCCAGCTAATTTCTTTCTATTTATAGTAAAGATGGGGTCTTGCTCTTGCCCAGGCTGGTCTCAAACTCCTGAGCTCAAACGATCTATCTGCCCACCTTGGCCTCCCAGAGTGCTAGGATTACAGGCATAAGCCACCATGCCTGGACCTACTTTTATGTTACTGGTTTTCTTCAAACTTGATGGTTCTTAGCTTTCCATATTTATAGATTAGGCCTAAGAGCAAAGTTTGAAGTTCTTTTCTTCAACCAAATTTCAATTCTGGTTCATTTTCCATGATTCCACGTTCTGATTATAGGCACCTCTTGTGATTATAAAGGGGAGTAGCATGTCAACACAGCCAAAGAGAGAATGTGGGTAGCTTAACTGCAGTTCCTCCTTGTAGTTGTTTTGGATAATGCCCTTATTCTCCAATCCCGTTGTTTCCTGAGTCAGTACTCCCCCTTCAGACAGCCACTTTCTTAGCCTGGTGGCAAATTTCCAGAACTAGATGCTCCAAAGATAAGTGCAATGGCTTAGCTGTTCCACTCTTTAACTAATTGGTCCTTCAGTAATCTCCTCTTTATCTTCTAGAATTTCCACATTGTTCAATTTCTGGTTTTCCAACTCTGCTCTTAATTTATTTTTAGTATTTCTCCAGCCATTTCAATGAGATTCTGTTTTGGTCATTTTCTCTGGAGAAGATTTGCTCTTTCTGGAAAACTCCTCTTCTTTTCTTTGACTTTCAGTTCCAGAAATCACATCTGCTAAAGAACTTGTTCTAGAAATGATATCTTCGAAAGGCTCCTGCTGCTGCTCGGTGGCTGGGACTCCCAGGCTGTCTCTGGAATTTACTAAGGCTTCCTGAGTAGAAACTGGTACAGGGAAGGAGTGGAGAGACAAAGGAATTCTAGCATCGCCTGTAATTTTCTGAAACTTCATTAGTGTTCCTTCATTGTAAGCTGACTGCATACAAATAGAAACTTGGATATTTTCCATTTTTCCTAGGGCATTCTGCTTTGGTTCTGGTTTTTCTTCTTCAATGGCCTTCTTTTCTTCTTTAGGTAGACTGCTAACAGTAGAATTCATCTGGGGATGACCTAGTAAGTGAAAATCTGACTGATCTATACCAGCCATTGTGGCAAGCTGCCCCAGCCCAGCATCCTTAAGGAGATCCAAGAAAGCATGGAACTTCTGAAAAGAATTCTCAATGCTGCCCAAAACACCTTCATCCTCCAGGATCATGCTTGTCAATGACTGTGCATGAAGGGCTTCAGACAAAGAGAAATTTATATTTCTTAACTGGGCATTTTCATGTTCCAGCTCACTGACTCGTTTATCAGCCTTAAGCCTTATCACTCTTTCCTCCTTTAACTGCTTCAGGCACTCTTCCAGTTTTTCCTGTAATGCTTCTTGTTTTACACTGGTTTTCTCAGGCACTTCATGAACACTTTCTGAAGAATCATCAACCTCTTCGATTTCTGAGGATGAAGGACTCTCTACTGTCACAGTCACAGGAAAACCTGGTTGCTGCAACTGATTATGTATATCACGAGTTTTGATCAATGGAAAGCCCCTGTTCCTTTTTGCACGTTCTGCAGTACGCCACGGCAAGAAACCAGATGCACCAGGTGGTAGAGGTATAGGAGCATAGTGTTCTTTACCAAGGGAGTGTTTGTTTCCACTACTTACAGGTTTCTTTGAAGCAAATCCAATTCTAAAAGTAGCTTTTCCTTTTCGACCACTTCCTAGAATTATAGTTTTCTTTTTCTGTCTAGCAGTTTTCGATGATTCCTTCACTGTTGGAGAAGTTATCCATTGGTACTCTGACTTAGCACTCCTTCCATTCTGGACAACTTTTTTGATAACTGCTTTCATCATAGAATGATTGATGAGTGGATTTTTTCTTATATCCAGAACAATGAGAGTTCTGTTGGTTTCAAGGGCCTCCAGTAAAGCATTTGCTCCTTCATTGGTCAGGCCGCACTGTTGCAGGTCAAGTGCTCTCAGCCATAAACCCTCACTGAGTGAGTCTGCAAAAGTACTTGCACCTACGTCACCAATCAGCGTGTTGCAGTTCAGTGTGATACGCCTTAAGCCAGCCATATAGTCAAGATCAGGTCTCCTATAGCGAAGACTCTCAGCCCAGGTTTCTTCATGTCTTTTCATGGTCTGATACTTTAAGATCTTGGCCATGTGATCTGCTCCCTGCCATGTCAGATTACACCCCGTGAAGTTGACTGTCTGAAGAGGGATAGAGCTCTTTATACCTTGACAAATAATTTCTAAACCTCCATCTCCAATTGGACAATTTGCAAGAGACAGGTGCACCAAAGAAGCCGATTTATTCAATCCCTTTGTTAAAACAGTTAAATCTCTCTCTCTCAGAACTAGTCCATTTAGCTCCAGGTTCTTTAGCACACTTGATATACTTAAACAGCCTTTAAGAGCTTTACATAACTGGAAGGTCACATCTTTGAATCTTATGGCAGGAACGCGACTTCTGCAAACTTTATTTATGTCAGAACCTGTTTCCCCAAGCCACGGCTGGAAGAAGCTCTTGATGGAGATCAAGGGCAGGTCTTTATTAATCTTGAGGGTGCTGAGCAGCGGCGCCCAGTCCACGACGCGGAGGCGGTGGGCGTTGAAGTGCAGCACGCCCTCGCGGAGGCAGCGGCAGCGAGTCCTGCAGCGCGCACAGGGACTCGTGGTGCGAGAAGAAGTCCGGCGCGCTGTCGGGCGCGGCTTCACCGGGTCGATCGTGGCCAGGGCGCGGCCTCGGGGGATGCCGGCCGCGGAGACGTCGCCCGCACCCACGGGGGGGCCCGGGTCGCCGCCCGGCGGCTCCGTTACCCACGGCCAGGCGGGGACAGCGGCCCCACACGGAGTGCGGGAGCGGCTCGGCCAGAAGACCGAGCCGGGCGCCCCGGGCTAGGCGCGCGTGCACGGTGCCTGATTTTGTTGTGTCCTATTGCTTAGGGTGCTGGTGCTTCTCTTATGGGGTGTGTTTTCCGTTTTGGTTCTCAATTTCCTGAGTTTCCTTCGCTGATTTCTTCCATGTCGATCAGTGTTGTTTTTTTCCTTTAGGTTATGTTTTGGGTATTCACATGCCTTGTTTAGTTTCTGAGGCGTTAGGTGTTGCTGGGTGTCGAGGCGCCCCCTGATATGAGCGCGAGGGTGCGGAATAGCGGAGCGAGCGTGCCTGTCATAGGAGCAGCTTGGAGGAACGGCTATGCTGTTAGGAGTCCTGTTATCAGCTCCTTGTTCTGGGCGGAGCTGGGTTGGCTAAGCCTACCCTTCAGCCGTTAGCAGGGGTCAAAGTTCTGTTCTGCTGTTCCAGGAAAAGCTGTCAGGGCGGCTGGAATGGTCCTGCTCAGCCAGAAAGGTCTGCGTGTGGGTGGTGGGCTGTCTGAGACCCGCAGTCTGGAAGCGGGCTCGCTTCTTTCCACCCTCCCAACTCCGCAGCTACTCCTGGGCTCTGCCAGCAGGCCAGACCACAACGCACCAGGCCTCCCCGGACTGTGATGCCGCGGGAGGTTCCCTGCACAGGAACGCCACCTGGGCTGGGCGCACGGCCTCCTCTGGGAGAGGGTTGCCCTCTGGATGCGGATCCCCTGAAGAGCACACACACCTCAGTAGGCGCTGTTCACGTATTACCCTTCTGTGCCCCAGGCAATGCTACCTCCGTGCAGGGGATCTGGTCTGCAGGTCCGACCTCTGGGTCCCAGGAGTTCAAACTGTATCCACCAGGGAGAGGACGTTCCGGTCCCAATTCACCCACAGGGAGCCCAAGCTGTGTCTGTGTCTCTCAGCCTCTGAGTTGGCACCGTTCTCCTGGGAACACGTGCCAGCAGCACCTGGAGAGGCTGGTGGGTAGGGAGCTCACAGTCTGAGTTCCTCTGAGTCAGCTGTAGGGCCCAAAAGGAAGGACCCGTTCCCTGGAGGTGCCTCCGGCTGGTGGCTGTATTGTTCTCTGGCAGCCGCGGTAGGGTCGCGGAGGGAGGAGGAGGCAATATGGCGCCTGCCGCGCGGGCTCGGAGTCTGTGCACACGAGGTGCCCGGAGGAATTTGGGAACCTGGTGCCACGTCTGCTACAGGCTCACCGCTGGCTGGTAGCGGCCGTCTCTGGGCTGGTGTCCGCAGGTCTCTCCACCCGCTGGGGAGCCCACCAGCAGTCCCAAATGCAGGGGAGGGGAAACAGCAAATCCACCTACCCTGCCGCTGGTCTCCGGGCTGGCTCCGGTGTCTCAGCTCCAGTTCTCCCTCTGCGCTCCTCGTGGAGTCTCCGGGTCTCAGGACCCCTCCTCCGGCCTCGCTGCTGTGCTCGTCTTCTTGCTTCTTTTTTCTAATTTCTGCTAGAATCTGTTTTTTCTGCAGAGACACTCTGTTTGGCGGTGATTCTCGTCCGCCATCTTGCTCCACCCCCTCAGTTTCTTTTTATCTCTTTCTTCTTGCACCTCATCATATAAAGCTTTAAGAAGGCAATTGATACTTTCAGCATTCATGGAAATCATCTCAGCTAGATTCACAAGTTCTCAGGGGTAAATTTTGTTCCAAGTTCCCACAATTGACTTTTTCTAATTATTTGACTCATTAATATGGGTCTTCCCTTTTAGACTCTCTGCTAAGAGTTAACTGACTATTTTCCAACTTTTGCTAATAGTTCCCTCACTACTCTTCCAGCCTCTACTCACCAGTCAATCCCAAAGTCAGGGCTGCATGTTGTATGTTTTGGCCATGCAGCACCCAACCTCTAGGCACCAATTTATGTATTAATTAGCTTTTGCTGTATAAAATAAAAACCAGTAAAAAAATCTAGTGGCTTAAAACAGCAACTGTTAAGACCATAGTGAATACCATCTCAATTCATTGGGATGATTACCATACCAACAAAAACAAAGCCAGCAAATGACAAGTGTTGGCAAGGATGTGGAGAGCTTGGAGCCTTTGTGCACTGTTGGTGGGAGCCTGACATGGTGCAGCTGCTGTGGGAACAGTATGGAGGCTCCTCAACAAACTGACAATGGAACTGCCATGCGACCCAGCAACTCTGCCACCGGTTACACACCCAGTAGAATTGAAAGCAGGGGCTCAAAGAGATATTTGCATACGCATGCTCATAGCAGCATTATTTGCAGTAGCTAAAGGATGGAAGCAACCCAAGCATCTGCTGACAGATAGATAGATAAACAAAATGAGGTGTATCCATGCAATGGAATATTATTCAGCCTTAAAAAGAAGGAAATTCTTACACATCTTACACATATGTAAATTCTTACATATGGAAGACATTATACTACGTGAAATAAGCCAATCACAAGGACAAATACTCAATGATTCCATTGAGATGAGGTGCCTAGGGCAGGTGCATTTCTAGAGACAAAGTCTCGTGGTGGTTGTCGAGGCTTGGGGGTGCTGGGGAGATATTGTTTAATGGGGACAGAGCTTCCGTTTGCAACATGAACAAGTCCTGGAGAGGGTTGCACAAGGACATGAATATACTTCATCCAGTGTAGATCTCAACATCCCTGTGCTTGACCACAAACCTCACAAGCCCTCCAGAACTGGGCTAAGCCAAAGGAAGCACATTTGCTTTAGTGGTAGCTGTGTGCGTCCAAGCCCCCACGAGAGTGTCTTTCCCCCTCACCTCTGCTTTCCCGCTGAGTCAGCTCTACTCCCTTAGCCGAGGGCTGCTTTCTCCACTGCGTGGTCCCCAAGGTGGAAGGCAGCAGCCCACTCTCGCTCTGGATGTGCGTCTCTGCTGCAGAGGTCTGCCAGGGGTCCCTTGGTATCTACGGGACTCAGTTCCTCATGCTGGTTCAGTTTAGCGTCTGTCAGGTGCCCAGCCCTGGACCGTGGTCTAGGGTCACATTGTACGAGCATGGCTGTTTCCAAGGTTACTGGGTGAAAAGGGGGAAGGGACGTTGCTGGGAGAGTCATGCAGGCTCTGAGAACTGGAGCGTGTCATAGAATAAACAGGCTGACACCCAGCTGGTGCTCCGTACAGCCGTCTGGGACTCGTGTGCCATGGGCCCTCCTGGGAAGAAACGTGTGGTGATGGCCTTGGAGAACCTGGGGTCTTTATGACTGTCAGGGCCTACCGTATTTCCTGAGGCTCTAGTAGAATTATCTGGCGAGAAGTGTGAAAACATTTACTACTCTCGATACATTGCTAAATTAGTTTCCTAAGCACTTGCAAATTGTGCCAATTTGAGTCTCATTTTGAGGTATATTCACTAGCATTGGACAATAGATTTTAAAATATGGCATAATAGTAAGGCTTTAATTGTAATTACTTTGATTATAAATAAGACCAAATCTTATCTTTATTAGTTAGCCATTTGCTTTTTCTTAAATTGTCTAACAATGCTGCTTGCCTTTGTTGTTTTTTGCTTCTTGGTTTTATTTTAATCCTTTTAAATATAAAATAGAACACAGATACAGAAAACCACACAAACCAAATGTGTGGCTTTATGAATTATTACGAGATTACCCCACTCAGGCAAGGAATGGGATTTTGCCAGACGCCCCTGCAGACCCTTTCTTGGGCCCTGTTGCCGTCACTAGCCCCTCCTCCTCCTCGAGGTAACCACTGAGGGATATTCTTTAAATAGGACTTTTAAGAGTCCTTTGTTGAAATTGTTGCAGATATGTTAACAATGTTGGTTGTTTGCTTTTTATTTTGAGTTTTTAAGAATAAACTCACAGAAAGTTTCCATTGATAACAAGTCAAATCTATCATTACTTTTCATGGTAGCTTTTAATTTGAGATAGCTTTACCCTGCTCCGACCCTCCTTGGCAACCAGTTCTAAGGGTATATTTATTAATTCTACCACTTTTTTTCTAATTTGTTATTTCTATTCCTATCTGTATTGTTTATTTCTAATTCCTGGTGAATTTTCATTTTGTTCTTTTAAAATTGCTTGTTGTGGAAGCTTATTTGGTTTATATACTCTTCCCCATCCCTTTAAAAAACAATAAAGTGTTTAAGGCTATGAATTTACCTCACACTATGATGTTACCTGTTTTCCCATTGATATTTTTTCTGTGTCTATAAACTGAGTTTCAGTTTTTGTATTTTTTAGAGAAGTTTATCTTTACAAGGAATACAATATCTATTAATTGTCATATTATTTTTATTTAAGTCTACTTGATAGAGACTGATATTTTTATGTTAATCTCTGAATACAATCTTTAAAAATTTTTCTTATCTTTTGGGAAAAAAATTTTATTGCCATAGTTTTCTACAAAAAAAAAGATTTTTGGCTTGTCTTCACTATTGCTAAATGTAAAAAACTGAATCTCATTTAATACTTTTGCTTTAAATTCTTTTTTTTTCTTATCCAAACATTTCCTAATTCCATTAGGAAACCTTACTTGCATAGCACATGTTACAGATGTGCAAGACAAAGTGATATATAAGATGCGGCGTCTGTCCGCAAACAACATGAAGGTGAATTAGGGAAAAGTCTGTCCCCTCCCATCCCTACTGCCCCTGGTCTGCCAGTGTGCTGTGTGGTTAAGTCCGACATGTCACCTTTTTGATCCCCACTCACTCGTCCCATCCCTGTAGCTCCTTTCTTGGCTCAGAGCGGAGCCCTGCACGTCAGCCAGTGCCTCAGCACCCGACCTGCCTCCATGTCTCCTCGCCTTCCGCACAGTGTCCGGGCAGTCCCCTGCCGCAACGGACCGACCACACCACACCCTTGCTTTGAAAGCACATGCTTTCCTGAGAGGTGCTGGGCGCACAGCATTGTGAACGTGCTGAATGCCACGGACTTGGGCAGTTTCCTCTGGTTGTGATGGCGAATTTTATGTTCTGTGTATTATGGCACAATTTTTAACAAGTGGGATGAGAACAGCTCATGCATCAGGATGTTCTAGGCGCTGCACAACCTGTGTCATCCTTGTCCTGCATGCCCACGGACACCCTCCCTCTCAGCCAGGGGCTCCTCCCCTCCCCTTTCTCCTCCTTCTCCTTCAGATCCAGCTTAGTTGTGACCTTCCCCAGAAGCTTCCTGTGACTCCTGCCCACACCCCCAGACTGGGTTAGGTGTCCCCGCTGTGAGTTCTGGTGGCGCCTTCTCTCCTGGGGCCACCGCTCTGCACTGCCACCCTTGATTCACTGGAAGGACACACTTCTTTTTTCTTAAGCATATGTTTCTGTTCTTCTTCATCTCGACACAGGCATCAACTCCTTCCAAGTCTACATGGCCTACAAGGATCTCTACCAAATGTCCGACAGCCAGGTAGGTCCCTGTCTCCTCTCCGTCCTGCAGCGCAGGCAGGGAGACGCTGAGAACTGGCAGGGAGTGCTCTGGGCTCAAGTCCTGGTTCTGGCACTGAATTGATGTGTGACCTTGTGTCAGTCATTGCCCCTCCTGGGCTTTTGTTCCTCTCTGACCATTGGAGTGGGTGCATGGGGTCCCTAGCACGGTGGCTCCCCAACCCAGCTTGTGTTCAGCGTCACCTGGGGAGCTCATCCAAAGCGCAGCTGCTCAGAGCACATTGCAGACGCAGCAGCCACACTTCCCAAAGGCCGTGCGGCGGGTTCTGGGGCTCAGGCGGCGCCAGGAACATTTTGCCAGCTGTGACACAGGGGAGAGCCCTGGCCTTCCCTCGCGCCAGCTGCAAGATGTTAGGCCAGTCACCTCCTTTCTCAGTTTTGTCATCTAGAAGATGTAAAATATCTGGCCTTGCCAACCTCAAACAATCGCTAGGTAGGTTCGAGGAGCTGAGGAAGCTGACGGAGTCAGCTGCTCTCCAGGTGTAGAGCTGCACCTGGCCTTCTTACACTGCTGGGTCTCCTGTGTTGTTTTGTTCTCGCTCCCCTGCCCCAACTTGCTAGTGGGGTGAGAGGCTAGGAGTCTAGAGCCAGGCTGCATGGCTGCAAGCCACGGCCGTACCAGCACTTGCTGTGCAGTCAGGGGCGGCTTTCCGAACCTCTCTGTGCCTTAGGCTTATAGAGCACAACCTCTGACTTGGCCGTCAGAGGATTGAATGACTCAATACAAGCAAAGTTCTAGGGCAGAGCCCGGCACAGAGCGTGCCATGCGGGCGGCAGTGAGCTCTTGCTGGTTATTGCCAGGGATTCGGTGGGCGGTGGGAGGGTGTCCTGCCTCTCAGATAAACACTTGGGGTATAGAAAACAGTCGGTCCCAAGGTGCCCTGGAGGGCATCAGCAATCAGCAAAAGGCACTTGAAAAACTGAAAATTGGTTCAGTTTTATGGAAAAAAATACCATGTGACATGTCGTCGTGTGACGTGCAGGCATAATTGTGATGTCACCTGTCTCATTCTAGCCACCAAAGCCCGGGCATGGGTGGAATCAAGCAGTCTTTTGGTGTGGTTTCCCAAACATGCCTCCAAATGCCCTCCGTTTGTGTCTACACCTGCAAGCTCACAGCCCGGGGGTGTTGTCTTGCATGCGTGGAGAACAGAGTTAGGATTCCAGTGTCCCTGAGGAGGGAGCTTGGTGGCTTTGGTCCTCACTAGGGACAATGCCTGATTGCAGATTCTTCCCAGGCAGGAAGAGGACGCCGGACAGTGGGCAGCACCTGGCCCGGCCGGTGAGATGGTGCTGGGCGCGGCGCATGCTGCCTGAGCATCGGAGTTACCGGAAAGCCGGTTCCGCACGCCACTGCCGTGCGTAAAATGGCGTGGTTTTTGTAAGGTGCCCACCTCTCCCGTGGAGGCGAGTGGCTGTAGTACAGGTTTAGCAGATTTGGCTACAAATTTTCAGTAAAACTAAATGTGACTTCTCAGCACCGCCTGTCGCCATTCACAGCTGCAGGTGTTTCAAAGGAGCCAAGTGAAAAAGAACGCAAAGGCTCAGACAGGTGCTGCGGCCACGCGTGTGGTCACGCCCTGGCAGGGCTGGCTCGGTTCCGCCCTCCCCCACCAGCTCCTGCTCTTGGGTCTGGAATGTGTCACGGCCCAGGACCATCCTCTCCTCGCCGCCTGCGGAACAGCGCGTTCCAGCGGCGCGACCAGAGCAGGGGCGCGGGAGTGCGAGGCCACGGCGGCGTGAGCAGAGGAGCGTCCCTGTCAGCGTGCGGGCTGGACGTTCTTGTCTCACGCCGGTCCCTGTCCCTGTCCCTGTCAGCGTGCGGGCTGGACGTTCTCGTCTCACGCCGGTCCCTGTCCCTGTCCCTGTCAGCGTGCGGGCTGGACGTTCTCGTCTCACGCCGGTCCCTGTCCGTCTCTCCTCAGCTCTATGAAGCCTTCACCTTCCTCAAGGGGCTGGGAGCTGTGATTTTGGTCCACGCCGAAAATGGAGATTTGATAGCTCAGGTGAGTGCTGCGAATTTCCTCCCCTTCCACCTGGGTCCGCTGCTCGTTGCGAAGGGCCGGGCGAAGCGTGCTGGTCAGCGAGGTGCCCGGGGGTGAGGGGCCGAGACAGGGACTGGGCGCCACGCCGGACGCTCCAGGTGGGAGTTGCCCACACTCCTTCGGCAGGCCGCGTTGCCTCCGGAGTCTGCCTCCTCCCCTGTACCACGGGGCAGCTCAGCCGCCCTCCGCACCTTGCACCTTGCACCTTGCACCTGCAGGCTCGCGTGGCGGGCAGGTGAGGGTCTGAATGAAGATGCGCTGCTCGCTGGGGTGCGGGGCACGGAGCTGGCGCTGCGCTTTGTCTTCCGGAGCTGGGGCTGGGCGGAGCCGGGGAGTCCGGGCTGGGAGCAGGGGTCCAGCCCAGCCTCTTCATCGCCCAGCCACGTGGCCTCAGGCGAGGACCATTGCCCGCCCCACAGAGACTCTCAGTTTTCATCCCGAACACCTACCTGGCAGTGTTGCTGTGAGGATTAAAGGGTAACTTGTGCTGTGTTGCCTAAACGTTCCTTGCTGAAAATTTTGTCCCCAAATTCATAGGTTAATGTACTTGGAGGTGGGACCCTTGGGAGGTAATTGGGGGCAGATGAGGGTACAAGGGTGGGGCCCTCAGGGTGGGATTGCGGCTTCCTAAGGAGAGGAAGGGCGGCCTGAGCCCTGCGAGACTGGCAGGGAGGCCCTTGCCGGGTTCCGGCCCCCGGTACTGGACCTCCCAGGCCCAGAACCACGAGGAACACATTTCTTTTCTGCATCAATTACCCTGTCTGTGGCGTTCTGTGACAGCATCAGAAAACACACTGGGACATCGTGTGCGTGGAGTTCAGTGCCGCACACACGACAGCTGCAGCCGTGCAGACATTTTGGGCAGGAAGAGACGTGAGCACAGTTTGAACCTTCTGGCCGTGGGGTGGAGAATTTGGGGGGGAAGAACAAAGTCAGGGTGACCAGCCGGGTTCTACTCCAGCAATTCTCGTAAGAGATGAAGAGAGGAGACAGAAAACAGAGAGGTGAGAGAGATAGGAAGGAAGCCCCGTTTACAGGACTCATGGATGGATTGCAGGGGAAGGGGGGAGGCGGGTGCCTCTGGGTCTCTGATGCAGGGGCCCCGTCAGTCACCGGGCCGCCTCGTCAACTCCAGGCAGAAAGGGGAGAGTCTGGATGCAGCCACAACAGTAATTAATGCCAGGCACAATGTGAAGGACTGCATAGATGCTCACAACTACTCCATGAGTTAGATACAATTATCCCCACTTTATAGGTAGGAAAACTGAGCCTTGGATATGAACAACTTGCTCCCTGTCACATGGGGCAGTAGAGTAGAGCTGGGATGTTAGCCAGTTCCCGCTGGTTCCAAAGCCCAGGGAAAGAGCAGAGTGATGGTTAAGTGCTTGAGGCTTTACATTAGTAAGGTTCAGCTTTACTTCCTCTTATCTGTGTCCTTGCAGTTACTCTTTAGAATTCAAAGTAAAAAATGAACAGTGCCTCAGTTTCATCATGTAGTAGAGTTCTGCCCACTGATGACAGATTGCCGAGTCCAGCCCTCACTCAGGAAGAAGGGGCCACACAGGAATACTGGGAGGCGAAGTCACTGGGGCCGTAGCCGAAGCTGTCCACCAGAATGTGTGCGCTTCCCTGTGGTTGCCGCCCCGCTCACATGCGGAACGCGATTCCTGCCCCCCACTGGGCCTCCAGAGTCTCATCTGTGACAGCACTATCGCAGAGCCTGGGACCTCCCTGTTGGGTGGGGGTAGGCGTGGATGCGGCTGGTGGTTGTGCCTCCTGCAGTCGTAGGTCTGTGACACTAAAGCGGGCGATTCCCGCCCCCACCCCCCCGACACGCCGTGATGTGGGGTGCGGGCAGATGCTCCCGTTCAGCGAGGGGCAAATAGAGGCATCGAGGAGTCACGGGCTCTTGGCGACTCTGAAACAGAGCTGGGCAGATGTGAGGTCTGAAAACAGTCCCCCTGGTTCTTGGCTCCTCCGTCTGGGCTCTCGGTTCCGTCCTCTGAGTTGTTCATCTTTCTCATGAAAGGTAGCGGTGACTAGTTTCCTCAGCCTGCTTCCTGCCTGACAGGATTTTGGGACTCCAGCTCCCCCATGCACGTCACATGCCTTTGTCCCCTTCAGCATGACCTGCCCGTGTGCCGCTAAAGCAATTCTCCCGAAGGCTTCGTAGGGCTGCGTGAGTGCCACCGGGGCTGATCCATTGCACAAGAGACAGGCACAGCGTTCTCGTGGGCGAACCGTGCCTGTGCTGCTGGAGAGCTGGGGGCAGCGGGGGCTTCCCGGGGCTCTGCTGTCTGCCGGGAGCCCCCACAGACACGTCTGTAATCCCTTTAAAGGGCCTTCCCTGGTGACAGAGGATGCTGGGAGGCACACTCCCTCTCTGAGTTGTTAGCTGAAGTTTGTAGAGTTGCACTGCTAGTTTTATCTGGGCGAGTTCTGGATGTGGGATTGGTTCAGAAGCCATTTCTTAAATTTATATCTTTGTTCTTTGGAGAGACTTAAAATTTTCAAAGCCATCACGCTCTGGCTTTTTTTAACAGTCCTTCCCTCAGTTTCTCTCTCCCACACACATTCTACTGTAAGCAGCAGGAAGAAACAGGTGGTACCTTCAGTGCTTTGCTGGGGAATCTCCTTAGCTGGACCTGCCACTTCACTAGGTCTAAGCTCTGCCTTCCAGCTGGGCGAGAGTGTCGCTGAGCTTTCTGCTGCTCCGTAGCAAGGATGCCCCTCCAGTCTCCAGAGGCGTGTTCCTCATTTCCCGTGCACACCACGGTGACGCCCTCACAGGCTGTTTCTGATAACCATCTATTCAAGGCAGTTGAATATGCTCCTTCAGAATTCTTCCTTCCTTTACTGCCCGGTTCCAAAGCCACTTCCACAAATTTAGGTAACTTTTATGGTAGCACCCTACTTCTGCCACCAAAATCTGTATTAGTTATATATGACTGCATGGCCCATTACCCCAAAACTCAGCATCTTAAGACAACAAGCGGTTATTTCCTCATGGTCCTACTGTGACTCAGGAATTTGGATGTAGCTTGGCTGGCCCCTCTGGCTCAGGGTCTCCCAGGCTGCAGGGAGGGTGTCAGGTGGAGCTGGGGTCGTCTCAAGGCTCGGACAGGCAGGGCGCACTTGCAGCGTCACTCAGGTGGTGTTTTGGGGGTTCAGTTCCTTGCAGGCCATCAGACTGATGGCCTGTGCTCTTTGCTGGCCAGTGGCCAGAGGCCTCCGTTGGTTCCTTGCCACCTGGGCAGCTGCAGCATGGCGCTGGCCTCCTTCAGAATGGCAAGCCAAAGGGCGGGAGAGGGTGGGCCAGGTGGAAGCCAGAGTCTCTGTGACCTCACCTCACAAGAGATGTCACGTCTGTCGTGTCGTGCTCTGCTGTCAGAAGCAAGGTGCTGGATCGAGCCTGAGCTCCAGGGGAGAGGATTATGTACGGGCGTGACAGCCAGGAGGCGGGATCCCCATGGTCATTTAGAAGTGCCTGTCACGCCACACATGCCTGAGTGCCCGCTGGTTTTAAACTTCATGAAAATGGAGCTATGCGGCATGTCCTCTTTTATATCTGGCTTTGTCTGCTCAAACCTGGGTGTGCGAAATCCATCCCTGTTGTCAGTTGTAGTGATAGCTTTCTCCGTGTGGAATTCCATTGTGTGAATATGTCATGGTTTATGGCTTCAAACACAGAAGCGTGTTTGAAGCTTCTGTGCACGTGCCAGCCTGTTCTGCTGTCACACCTACGCTCACGTTTCTGTCCGCGTGCACCGCGGCGCGGGCCGGCCGGCCGTGGGCCGTGCAGACCTCTGCCTTAGCGGTCACGGCCGCACGCTGTTCCAGAGTGCACCAGCGCGCAGCCCGCACTCCCCGAGTCCTGCGTCGGGCTTGCTCTCCCTGCTGCCGACTGAGGACCGGCCTGTCACAGCTCTAGGACACCTGTCACCTCTGGACATCTGCTCTCCACAAAGTCTTGCTTCTGTTGTCTGCATTTTCTTGGTTCTTGCACATCTTTTTGTTACTTTAGTGGGGTTTCAAAAGGAAGCGAAAATAGCACGTGTGCTTAGCCCGTTATCTTCAGCTAGAAATCCCGCCGCATCTTTGTTTCCCCTTATTCCCTCTCTTGTCCTCCCTCCCTCCCTCTTTCCCTCTCTTCCTTCCCTTCCTTCCTCTGTGAATATAGAAATAGTAACTGACATTTAAACAATTTTGCATAGGGATTTCTCCATGTCAAAAAATCTTCTTGTAAACAGTTTCTAAAAATGCTTTGTAAACACCATCTTCAGTAGCTGAAATCATTCCACTGTTTACTTAAATCCACTCCAGCTGTTAGAGCTTGAAATTGTTTCCAGTTTGCGTCCTTGTAATAAACTCACCATAGACGCCCAATTGAAACTGCGACGTGTTTATGGTCGCTAGGGCTTGGGGTTCGCGGTAAGGCTGTGTCCGAGATGACGGCACAGGAACCGCGGAAGTCAGGGCCAGCAGCACACAGCTGGCATCTGCGCAGCGAGAGCCTAGTGTCCGTGGACGGAGGAAACTCTGGAACAGATGGGCTCGGATCCGGGCCACCAGACAGGGAGTGGTTTCCAGGTGATGTGATGGGTTTGAGGTGGTGGTTCCGTGCCAGAGAGACAGGTGCTGGGAAGAGGAATCTGGGGTGGAGATACGAGAGCTGTTAACACACCTTCCTGTGCTCAGGTCTCCTGCTGCACGTTGTTCGCGCTGTCTCAGCTACTCACGGTGTCGCTCCACAGTGCAGGCACCCTTGTCCCGGCGGCTCAGAGAGCACAGCTTGCCCAGTCACAGAGAAGGCCCTTTCCAGAGGTGGACCCCAGTTTAGGGCGCTTTGATTTCAAAGCCGCGTCATACCCAAATGCCATGTTTCTTACGGAGGAGAGCCCTGCAGGGAGATGTGGAGAAGGGAAGGGTGGTGGGCGAGCTGCAAGGCTCGCTCCTTATACGCCTGCTTCCTCACGTTGCCCCCAGGAGGTTGAGCATAACACAGGTGCTTGTGTGGATGTGCAGGGCTGCAGGGAGAAAGGGGGTGAGTGTGGTGGAGGGGGCACCAGCTCGCTGCCCCTCCGGCCCACTGTTAGTCCTTGTGCAAGGCCCCGCCCCCAGCCTCAGCTGCCCCCTGTGTCTAGGCAGGGCGTTGGAGGAGCGACTTCTCCGAGCTCTGATGTTCTGTAATCATTGACTCTTTGGCTCTTGTCTTGTAGGAACAAAAGCGGATCTTAGAGATGGGCATCACAGGTCCTGAGGGCCATGCCCTGAGCAGGCCTGAAGAGGTAAAGACTCCTCCACTTGGACATGACTCTGACATTGCTGGGTGCTCACCCTATGCTGTTCTAGCCGGGCCAGCCCAACCAGGGTCCCTGGCTCCTTCCCATTCCCTGTGCAGGAGCTTCCCAGCCCATCTTGGCTTCCCTGGGAGCCCTGGGGCTGCAGGTCACTCACAGGAGCCAGGAAGAGGCTCACTCAGGGCCCTAGACCTTCACTCCAAGGCCCCACAGAAGCTGCAGTGTCCAAACTCCACAGGGACTTTGTGTATTGGATGATAGGACAGTGGGGCCACATGCCCCAAGCCTAGCACCCGGGAGACAATTGCTCTGCCCACTGTGTTCCCAAGATATGAGAATGGATGAGCCCCCTGGGGGTGGCAGTATGTGCACATGTGTGTGTGCCTGTGTCTGTGTGTGCATGTGCGTATGCGTGCACATGTGCGTGTGTGTGCCTGTGTATATATGTGTGCATTGCGTGTGTGTGCATGTGCGTATGTGTGTGCGCGTGTGTGCATGTGCATATGTGTGCACATGTGCGCGTGTGCCTGTGTATATATGTGTGCATATGCATGTGTGTGCATGTGCACGTGTGTGTGCATGTGTGTGTTTGTGTGCACATGTGTGCATGTGCGTCTGCATGTGTGTGCATGTGCGTGTGTGTGCGTATGTGTGTATGTGTGCACATGTGTGTGTGCTGTGTATATATGTGTGCATGTGCATATGCATGTGTGTGCATGTGCATGTGTGTGTGTGCGCGTGTGTGCATGTGCATATGTGTGTATGTGTGCACGTGTGTGTGCCTGTGTATATATGTGTGCATGTGTGTCTGCATGTGTGTGCATGTGCATGTGTGTGTGTGTGTGTGTGTGTGTGTGTGCATGTGCAGGGAAGGGGCTGAAGGAATGCAATGGGTGCCCTAGAAGCCATCCTTTGTGTTGAGGATGTTTCCTGAATGTCCTTGTCAAGTTTTTGACTGGTCTCCTGGACCTCTGCTCAGGTCCTGGCCCTGTGCTGGATGCTGGGGACACAAGACATGAGTGTTCAGGCTGCTGGCCCCGAGGGGCTCTAGATCGGCCCAGTGCTCCTCAGGAGCCATTTGTCCCTGGCCCGTGCTGACAGCAGAGGGAACCAGGAGGCGGTGTTCACAAACTTCTGTAGCGCTTGGGTGTTACTGTATCCAGGTGTGTGACCAGTGGCTTCACCCTGGAGAGCAGGTGGAGGACTGTTCAGGTGTTGGACCCAGATGTACTTTCCTCCTTTGATGTAGTAGATTTCCCCTCTGACCACATTTAATTAAGGAAAATTGAAGGACTGTGATTGTAGGAGGGCCCTGGGCGCCGGGTGGGCAGTGGCTGTGCCCCACCCCTCCCCTGTGACCTTTGCATTTGCCGTGCCAGCTGGAGGCCGAGGCAGTGTTCCGGGCCATCACCATCGCCGGCCGGGTCAACTGCCCCGTGTACGTCACCAAGGTCATGAGCAAGAGTGCGGCGGACGTCATCACCCTGGCCCGGAAGAAAGGTCTGCAGCCTGCCCTGGGCCTCCTGAGGGTGGTGGGACCCTGGGAAAGGGGTGTCCAGCGGGTCCACATTCACTTTTGGAGCCACTGCCCAGGGCAGAGACCTGCCAGGAGTGGCAGCCTGAGCTCCGGGCCTTGAGGCACATTTTGAGGGGGGTGGGAGGCAGGGAGAACATGGGATATGGAGTTGGCTTTATGGGTTAGATTTCTGGTCTTCCATGTGCTAGCCCTGTGACCCTGGGCAAGTCAGGGGCATGTTCTGAGCCTCGGTTTCCTCATTTGTAGCTGGGTAATGATCCCTGCCTTGTGGGGCCAAGGCAGACCATGTATTTTACAGCTTTGCCAACTTTAAAACTCTCTCCAGAGTTTCAGATGGAGCCAGGGCAAGATTACATCATGCCGCCTTCTCTCTGGCCCACCGTCTGGGCACCAGCCCGGGTTGGGCTCCCCTGGGCCCCTCCAGGACCACACGGCTGGTGCCTTCACCCAGGGCCCACGCGGGGCTTGCAGGAAGAGTGTCAGCTGTGGGTTGGGAAGGAACAAGGTATTCTCCCAGAGCTAGAGGGTTTGGGAATAGCCTTGTGCTGGACACGGGGGAGAGCCAGTCTAGGAAGTCAGCTGCCCAGCTCTAAGACTTGGATGTGTTCCTTGTTCTCTTGAGCTTCTGTTTCTTCCTTTCTGAAATGTACCCAGAGAGCCATGCACGGAGCCCCAGGTGCTGGGCAGGTGGTAGTTAAAGTCCTTCTCAGCTCCAGATCAGCCATTCACTTCCTGCCTCGGTGTCCCATCTTGAGAGGGGCTTGCAGCACTGCCCTGCCTGCCGACCTGAGGGCCATGCTGGGGGCCTGCTGGACGGGCCCTAACCGGGCTCGGGCTTCCCAGCAGGAGACCCAGAGGGGCCTGAGTGCCATCCTCGGGCCCTTTTGACAGTGAGGTCTGCAGTCCCCAGGAATCAGCAGACCAAGGATGAAGAAGGAGGCCCAGAGCGGTCTTCCCTCCCCAAGTCAGAGAGAGAGGGACAGACAGACAGACAGAGGAAGAAGGGAGGGGCAGAGAAGGAATGCCTCTTCCACAAGGTTGGTGGCTAAAATCCTTTGGTCCTGATGACCCTAGGACATTGCCCTGGATAAGGGCCGCCCCCTTTTCTCTTGGGCCACGTGAGGCTGCCTGGGCGCTGTGGTCACAGGAGGGGCAGAGTGGGACAAATGGCAGAAACGCACAGAGCCCTTCAGGAGCGTCACCACACTCGGTGCACCGTGCTTACGCGGCCTGGAAGCAAGTCGAGCCACCTCTGTTTACAACGAATTTCAATAGGACACAATATTTAATCTAATATATCCAAAGTATTACTTCAACAAGATATCTTGCATGATTTTGTCTGTTTTCTTTTCAAAATCCAGCGTGTATTTACATGCACAACGCGACTCAGTTCAGACCAACCACAGCGCCAGGTGCTGGGGAGCCGCACGTGGCTCGGGGCTGCTGTGTGGGCTGAGCGGCTTTGGCCCCCAGACCACGCAGAGGCTGGGAGGGCACGGCCTGGCTAGCATTAGCTCAGTTTTAAAGATAAGGAAACCAAGGCTCTGAGAGGATGCAGAGACCTGGAAGCAGTGGCAGCGGGGGTCAAGCCTGTAGGTTCTGGAGCTACGCTAAGCCTTAAGGCAGCCACTCGCCACATGTCGCCATTTAAATTTAAGTTAAATGATGTTAAACAAAAGTTACAGGTCAGTTCTCAGTGGCACCATCCACATTGCAAGTGCTCAAGAGCTGCGCGTGGCCAGCGGCTGCTGGTTGGGCAGCCCAGGTACAGAGCGCCTGTCCCCGCAGAGACAGCGGCTGGGCAGCACAGCCCTGGAGCAGGCCGCCGGAGCGCACAGCCGTGCTCCCGTCCCGCTGGGCAGCAGGGGCTCCCGGCCGTACCTCTTGGCACTGGTCTCCAAAGATTCCTGCTCGGGGCCCTGGGACTCTGCCTGCAGGCTTCTTCCTGGGATAAGCCGTCGGTCCACCCCTCGGGACAGCAGGCTGGCGCTTCTGGGAAGTTAGTGTGTGCGGAGCAGCCCTGAGGCTGGTCGACCCCCCCCCCCCCCCCTGCTCCTGGGCTGGGACGGCGCCGGGCTGTGTTCTCAGCCTCGCAGCGTGCCCCGTGGGGCTGTGCGCCAGGGACCCAGGGCTGTGCCCTTCATTGGCTTCTTTCCTGGCCTTATGTCACTTCCTCAGTCCCCAGCCAGTGTTTCTGCAGTCACCTCTCAAATAAAACGCTTGACCTCAATTCCTTATTTGAAGATCTGCTTCTGGCAGCACCCAAACTAAGCACATCACGTCTCTGTCCCCAGTTTGCAAACCTGTGAAAGTTGGTGATAATAGTAGTGTCCAAATACTAAAGCAGTGACAGCACGGCAAGGGTGCTGGGAAGGCCAGCCGTTGTCATCGTTGTAAAGAGCTTGGCAGGGTGCGGAGGACAGGTGGGGTGGGCCTGAGCACTGTAGGTCGCCACAGTGTTGGCGGTGACCCTGCAGGAAGATGGGCCACATCCTGGCTTTTGCCAGTCTCACTCTCCCGCCTCCAGGTCTTCCAGTTTGTGCCACTGACTCCTCCCTTGAGACCGTTTGCTTTTAACCAGGCTCATTTGTGTCTGCCCCTCCCAGGCCCCCTAGTTTTCGGTGAGCCCATCGCCGCCAGCCTGGGGACCGACGGCACCCATTACTGGAGCAAGAACTGGGCCAAGGCGGCGGCATTTGTGACCTCCCCTCCCCTGAGCCCAGACCCCACGACGCCAGACTACCTGACCTCCCTGCTGGCCTGGTGAGAGCCCTGAGGACGTGGGGCAGGGGAGGCAGCTGGGGCCCTTGGGGCAGAGGGTTGACGGTGGGAGCACAGGCTGGTCTAGACGCACTGTGGTAGGGGAGGCCTTGGCCCCGTGCTGGGAGAGGACGGTGCTCTGCAGGGCTGACCACAGGCCTTTAGGGACCTGAAGATCGATTGCACCTAATAACTGTTCCATTCACATTTGCTGACCACCTCCGGTTCATTCAACAGCTGTTTAAGCACCCCCTCTGTGCCAGGCCCTGTGCTGTCCTGGGAAGTGCCCGGGATTAGGGTGTGAGACCAGGCTGTACCACCCTGCGCACGGCACGTTGCCCACAATATCTCTGTCACTTGGTGTGCTCAAAGTGGGGAGAATACGCTGCCTGCCATGGCCTTGCCCTTCCCAAGGAAAGGCAGGGACACGGGCCTTGGGCCCTGGAATCTGACCACTTCCCGCCTCCTTTGCTGCAGCCACTGTCATCTCTGGGCTGCCTACAGGCCTTTCTACTTCCACATGTCCCCTCCCCCAGCCACATCACAGTCTGCTCTCAACAGGTGCCCCAGAATTTCAAAACTTAAATTGGACCAAGCCATCCATCTGCTCAGAAGGCTCCAGTGATTTCTCCTCCAAGTGAAACCCAAGCCCTCACAGTGACCCACCAGGCAGGACTCGAGCTTGTCCTACTCCCCGACTCGCTCCTCCAGCCCAGGCCCCGTGCTGAGTCTTGAACACTGGCAGGATCATGCCTCAGGGCCTTTGCACTTCCTATGGCCCTGCCTAGCTCTCTCTTTTCTTAGCTGTCATGTGATTTCCTCCTGTTCATCCTTCAGATCTTCCCTGGAAGATTCCTTCTCAGGGAGGCATTTGCTGATCATTCTCTTTAACATGGTAGCCCACCCTCTCCAGCCCTGGCCACCACCTGCTCTAATCCAGCCCCGGCTCCCTAGCTGCACCACAGGTCCTGCCCATGCCGCTTACTGCCTAGTCCCCTCCCTCCCCTGCCCGTGTCTCTCCTGTTCTTAGACGCATCCCTGTCACCCTAAGTCGTACCAGGCACATGGGAAGGGTGCAACACATTTTGTTGAATAAATGAGTGAATATAAGTTCTAGATATCCCATGTATCTAGGTGATTCCTAATGTTCCTGGGCCTCTGAATTGGAGGACAGCCTCAACCTGCAGTTATAATCACAACATAGTGGTCCACTCATTCCACTGACTCAGGTGTCCAGCGCCAGGGCTCCCACTATATCAAAAGGATATTTGCTTTCAAAACACTGAGTGATTAAAAGGCAAACCCCAGTGAACTTGAGCCACTTTGCTGTAACCGATGCCTAGTGTTTTTCTTTTTTTTAGACAGAGTCTTGCTCTGTCACCCTAGCTAGAGTACAGTAGTGTCATCGTAGCTCACAGCAACCTGAAACTCCTGGACTCAAGGGATCCTCCTGCCTCAGCCTCCCCAGTAGCTGGGACTACTGCACCCAGCTAATTTTTCCATTTTCAGTAGAGACAGGGTCTTGTTCTTGCTCAGGCTGGTCTCGAACTCTTGGGCTCAAATGATCCTCCCACCTCAGCCTCCTAGCGTGCTAGGATCACAGGCGTGAGCCTGAACCACTGTGCCTGGCTGACGCACAGTGTCTTGTTCTGCAGACACAGCTAGAGCCCCAGCAAGCCCTGCACCAGCCGCCTTCCATTAAGAAGCCAAATGTCAGCGCGTGTGACTTGGTTTGTAACGTGCAAAGACATGAGGCCAGTGTCATAAATGGGACATCCCTGACTTGTGACACACACAGGCATGTGCTGGAAAGTTTCTCTCTTACTCACTGGCTTACTTATACATTCATTCATTCATTCATTGGCAATAATACATTTTGCCTTCATTTTTAAAAAATTGAGATAAAATTCACAACATGAAGTTCACTACACACGATCAATTTTAAAGAGAAGAGGCTGGGATAGGGAAGAAAGTCGGCAGAAGGCCTGGGGAAGGAGTCTGCATTTTGGCGCCTGCTGTGTGCCAGGTGTGTCCCTGAGTCCGCTCCGTGGACCACCACGGTCCTGGCGGGAGGCCTTCGTCCTTGCCTGGCCGGGGCAGGAGAGCCGGGAGAGCCAGTAGACCTGACAACAGGCCTGTCGGGTCTGCAGAGCCAGATCGTGTCAAAGCAGGGCTGCCCTGGGCTTCCGTGAGGTGCGTGGAAAACGAGTCACCCTTCCTGCCGCGCCGTGTGTCCCCAGCCTGCCTCAGCATGGCGTGCGCGCCTGCGGCATCCGGGGCACCTGAGCGCTGCGGACCCGGTGAGGCTCGCAGGGCAGGAGATGCATGTAGACGCTCTCGAGGCTCGGCAGTTTCGGGTAGGGGCAGCTGTCCGCGTGTCTGGTGGATCCGTCTGTTCCAGGTAGGGAGTGGAGGCTGGCTTGGGAGCCTTTCCCAGCCTGGAGCCCACACTAACACAGCAGCAGTCTGCTGGCGCCCAGTCCAGGCTCTTTCCAGGTTTCAACAAGACGCCAAAGGCCAAAGGGCCTTCCAGTACCATTCGCTAATGGCGGCGACATGCCCAGAATCCTCGTCCCACAGCCTGCTGGGGTCTCGGCTCCATGGACTGTGCCACCTGTCTGCAGTCAGGGTTTGCCCTTCACAGTGAACTCAGATCTGACCTCTGCCTTTCCTTGCCAGTGGGGACCTGCAGGTCACAGGCAGTGGCCACTGTCCCTACAGCACCGCCCAGAAGGCAGTGGGCAAGGACAACTTCACTCTGATCCCCGAGGGCACCAACGGGGTCGAGGAGCGGATGACCGTCGTCTGGGACAAGGCAGTGGTAAGTGCCGCCATCTCTCCTCTCAGGACTGTCCTAGAAACGCCCTCCCGGCCCATCGGGGCCAGGGCGCCATGCACTCTGGGCTCTCAAATCTGCCTTCGCGCTTGAGGCAGAAGCAGACGCACCAGCAAGGCCCACGCAGGGCCGCGGGGCCCCTGAGAAAGTCCCGCAGAGGCCTCTGCGCCCACAGAGCCGCGGTTTGCCTTTATGCTTTAAGAATGAAAAGTGTTGTGTTTAGTTTTGAACTGCATTTTAGTTCGCGTGGAGATGGCTTTTGTGCGTGTGCATGTGCGTGTGTGTGTGTGTGTGTTTCAAGTTTAGGGGTTCAGGGGAAGAGAGAATGCTTGTTGCAAAGGGAGCCTCAGGCCACACTCTGATCTGACCTCAAACCCGAGGACACCCCTCTGCGGGGCTGACCCGCTTCTTGCCAAGGCCAGGCCCTGTGCGCTCTGAGGCTGGCGTGTTTCCGGCGGGGGCGGGAGAGGCCCCCCACCCTGCGGGGCCCTCGCCCTCCTCCCGGCCTGCTAGCGATGCTGTCCTCATCGGTGGGTTTTGCCTTCAGGCTACTGGCAAAATGGACGAGAACCAGTTTGTGGCTGTCACCAGCACCAACGCAGCCAAGATCTTTAACCTGTACCCCAGGAAAGGGCGGATTGCTGTGGGCTCGGACGCCGACGTGGTCATCTGGGACCCCGACAAGGTGAAGACCATAACGGCCAAAAGCCACAAGTCGGTGAGTCCTGGCTTGTCCATGGTGCTTAGAGAGATGATACTTGCTTTGTAATCATTTTAGAAGCCTAAGATTAAAAATGGTTTATGGATTTTACAACCAGAATGTGATCTGATACCTAACCTAGCCTGGTTCAAGTTTCTCCTCTAGTCGGAGAGAATGGGAAAGGGCTGGAAGTAGGCTCCCGAGCCGCTGCTGTGCTCCCACACGCACCCAGCCGCAAACCCCCCAAAGACACGGGGATGGCGCGAGACACCTTTGCTTCCCTGGAGGGCTCGCTTCGGCACCCACTCTGCACACCAGCGGTGGCCTTGGGTCCGATGAGCAGTTACACTCGCAGATACGAGAGGCCACCACCTGGCCTCTGGCTCTGGGAAAGGGCGCGGGCCGGGAGCAGAGCGCGCAGTGTTGACCTGCAGTGGGAGTCCTCCCAGCCCCTGGGGTCGCTCGCTGGTGAGGGAGGAGACGGCGTGTGTGGTGACACGACACCAGGCACAAGGAGGTCCCATGAGAAAGCCACAGGAACTACTCGCAGCAGCCACGAGCGTGGCTCCAGGTCCCCGCGCGGCCACAGGAGGCGTGGCCTGGAGAGCAGAGTCTCAGTAGCTGTTCACTGTCCTTGTCCAGTCCGCCGGCTTGGGTCATCGGCGTGATAGACAGTGCTCCTCGCCACACCGGCGGCTTCCTACTTCCCCGTCTCCAGGAGCCAGGGTCGTGGGGGACGAGCCCGAGGCTGTCCTCCTGCCCGGAAAGCCGGGCGTTGCTCTCTGCGCGCACGGGCCAGCAGGCACGGATTCTGGCGCCCGTCACGGGAGTGCCGCGCCCGCGCCCTGGCTCTGGGAGGACCGGGAGAGGGGAGTGCTTGAGACGCCTCACGGGTGAGCGGGCGTCCTGTCTGCTTCGTGGCGCTGCAGCAGAATCCCACAGACTGGGTAACTTACAAGGAAAGGACATTTATTTGGCTGCAGTTCTGGGGGCTGGGAAGTGCAGCCACCTGTCACCGCCCCCTCTCACTGCCGCGGCAGTGGCAGGCAAGCGCAGCAGGAGTTCTGGGGTGCGCCCGCGGCCGCTGCGGCGGGAGCTGCTCTTGCGAGCGTCCGGTCACTGCTCCAGGGCCGCCTGCTGAGGGCCGGACCGGCGACACGGAGCTCGCAGGCCCTCCCGTTCCCGCGCCGCTTCCGTGCTCAGGAGCCGGGATTCCAGTCCCACCGTGGTCCGTGGTCCGCCAATGCTGCTCTGTAGTTACTCTGGCTTCGTGTTTTCTGTGCTTCGTCTCGTTTGATCCTCACGGCACTCATCTAAGTTAGTCTGTCGCTATGCGTCTCCAGGGATACGCCGAGTGAGTCCCTGCGGCCGCCCTAGCCAAGTGCCACTAGCTGGGCTGTTTTCCCTAAGTTCTGGAGGAGAGAAGGTGGCAGTCGAGGTGCCAGCAGGGCCATGCTCCCTCGAAGGGGGCCCAGGCCCCTGTCTCGGCGGCGGCCCAGCGGGCCTTGGCGTGCAGGAGCCTCGCTCCGGTCACCACCTCTGTCATCGCAGCTGCTGTCCTCTGCATCGTATAATCTTGCAAGGATGCCAGTCATTGGATTTTGGGCCACTGTGCCCCTTTGTGACCTCATCTTAACTAACAACACCTGCAAGAACCTTATTTTCAAATAAGGTCACATTCTGAGGTCTTCGACATACCCTTTTGGGGCGTATGGTCCGCCCTGTAACAATAGGGGGTGCGCCTGGGCTTGCTGAGCGAGCAGGCGTCGTCTTCAGGTTGAGCTCGGGGAGATATGCATCACCCCCTCTCCGTGCCAGGCCAGACTGGAATCCTTTGCACAGCAGCAAGAGGGCAATTTAGGGCATCATGAGGCAGGTTGGGCCAAAGTTTGATTTTCTCTGTCCAAAGCAATGCCATTCACACACTGCAGGAAAGTAATTTTTTTCAGAACAGGGATTAAGAAATGCTGTAATGTTAATGCTGATTTTTACAAGTTTTTAAAAATATTAGCTTTCTTTTAACATTTCTTATATAGGGAGAGATCATTCGTTATATATTGATCAGTGATTAAATTTTAAAATCTACTTTTCTATAAAAAGAAAACAACTTTTATTTTTTTTACCTTGGTGGAAAACATAATTACTTCCAAGGGCCACGTTGTAGGTGCACACGTGTCTGCACATCACTGACAACTAGGTTTCTAAAGCTTTTTTTATTAATAGATAATTCATGTGCCATAAATGTCACCATTTTGAGGTGTACAGTATACTAAGGTATATTGAGAAGGTTGTACAATTGTCCCTGGTTCCAGCCCGTCTTCATTGCCCCTCCAGAGAAACCCTGTTCCCACTAACAGCCAGTCCCCATCGCCCCGCCCCAGACCCCACCAACGCCCACCTGCCTGCCTGCTTTCTCTGTCGACTTGCTCATTCTGGACACTTCATGTAAATGCAGTCACACAGCATGTGGCCTTTTATGTCTTGCTGCTTTTGCTTACGAACAGCATGACCCCACGACGCAGCGTGGCCATACCACTTTCCTTCTATGGCCGAGCAGAGCACACTTTGTGCATTCATCAGGTGACCTGCTGCCTTGCAAAGGGTTATGTAAAAGGAACTGGTGACAGCATCATCCCTGGGAGGAGATGAGGGAACTTGGTGGGGCTCGTAGATAGGAGAGAAAAGAGGTGTTTTTAACATAATTGTTAGTATTGTTTAAAATTTTTAACATTGTGTGTTGCTTTTGAGAATTGAAGTGATTGACTTTTATTTATTTATTTATTTTTATTTTTTTATTACGTCATATTATGGGGGTACAAATATTGTTAGGGTTACATATCTTGCCCCTGCCCCCCTTCCCCACCCCGCGCTATGCAGAGCTTCAAGCGTGCCAGCCTCCAGGTGGCGCCAGCACCACCGTGTATGTGCATACCTTCCCCTCCTCCCCCTTCCACCTGTCCACCTCCCAGTAACAGATTTTTTTTAGACTTTGGTTACAGTGTATATCTTTGCCTCTCCCTAAAAAGGGATAGAGGTAATCCCTTACCCCCCACAATGCTCACCACATCCTTAAGATGTGGGTCTCCCCCCCATCCCTGTTGAACACTATAATTTTTTGAGCACCATAGTTTTAGTCTGTCAGTACCAATTTGATGGCGAGTAGATGCGTAGCCCATTTTCCAGATCTTGTGTCATCTCGCTTTGTATTACGGGTTTAAGCTTCATCCAGGATAGCATAAACGGTGCTAGCTCACTGTCGTTTCTTAGGATTGAGTAATATTCCATTATGAGCATATACCACAATTTATTTATCCACTCATGAATTGATGGGCACTTGGGTAGTTTCCATGACCGTGCAATAGTGAATTGTGCTGCCATAAACATTCGGGTGCAGGCCGGGCGTGGTGGCTCACGCCTGTAATCCGAGCTCTCTGGGAGGTCGAGGCGGGCGGATTGCTCAAGGTCAGGAGTTCGAAACCAGCCTGAGCAAGAGCGAGACCCTGTCTCTACTATAATAGAAAAAATATAATTGGCAAACTAATATATATAGAAAAATTAGCCGGGCCATGGTGGCCATGCCTGTAGTCCAGCTACTCGGGAGCCTGAGGCAGGAGGATCACTGGAGCCCAGGAGTTGGAGGTTGCTGTGAGCTAGGCTGACGCCACGGCACTCACTCTAGCCTGGGCAACAAAGCGAGACTCTGTCTCAAAAAAAAAAAAAAATTCGGGTGCAGATGTCTTTATAATAGACTGACTTATGTTCTTTTGGGTAGATGCCAACAATGCTATTGCTGGTCGAATGGCATTTCTATTTCTAGCTATTGAGGTATCCCAAATCTTTTCCACAGAGGGTTGCACTAAATTTGCAGTCCCACCGCATGTGAGAGTGTTCCTGTCTCTCCACATCCTCGCAGCATTGTGTTTTGGGATTTCCTGATACAGGCCATCCTCACTGGGCTTAGGTGGTCCTCATTGTGGTTTTGATTTGCATTCTCTAATGATTAGAGATGTTGAACATTTTATATGTTTGCAGGCCATTATGCTGTCTTCTTTGGAGAAGTTTCTGTTCATTTCCATTGCCCATTTCTTGATGGGGTTGTTTGATTTTTTTCTTGTTTATTCTTTTAAGTTCTAGATACATTCTTGTTATTAGACCTTTATCTGAAGTGTAGAGAGCGAATATTTTCTCCCACTCTGTGGGTTGTCTATTTGTTTTAATGATCGTTTCCTTGGCAGTGCAGCAACATTTTAATTTGATCAGATCCCATTTGTTTATTTTAGCTGTGGCGGTGATTGCCTGGGGGTCTTCCTCATAAATGTTTGCCTACCGACATATCTGAATCGGGTTTTCCCAACATCTTCTTCTAGGATTCTAAAGTTTCCTGTCTTAGGTTTAGGTCTGTATATCTCTTTGAGTGAATTTTTGTGAGAGGTGAGAGGTTGGATCCTGATTCACTCGTCTGCATGTTGCAACCAGTTTTCCCAGCAACTATTATTGAAAGAGAGATCTTTTCCCCAATGTATATTTTTGTCTGCTTTATCAAAGATTAGGTTACCGTATACAGATGGTTTGATCTCTGAAATCTCAGATCTATTCCGGATATCTATGGCTCTCTTCTTGTGCCAGTACCAGGCAGATTGAACTGGTTGCTTTACAGAACAGCTTGAAGTCAGGAAAACTGATGCCTCCCAGTTTGTTCTTTAAGATTGCTTTGGCTATACATGGTTTTCTTTGGTTCCATACGAAGCGAAGAATTATTTTTTCTAGATCTGTCAAGAATGCTGGTGGTATTTTGATGGGGATTGTATTGATTCTGTAGATCACCTTAGGTAATATTGACATTTTAACAATATTGATTCTACCAAGCCATGAACATGGTAGATTTTTCCATCTGTTTAAATCATCTGCAATTTCTTTTTTTGTTTTCGTAGTTCTCCTTGTATAAATCTTTTGTAATCTCTCGTTAAGTATACTCCCTAGGTATTCTAATTTTCTTTGGGGCTATAGTAAAGGTATTG